TTTTTTTTTTTTTTTTTTTTTTTTTTTTTTTTTTTTTTTATAATTGCCACCCTCACGGGTGTGAAGGGGTGAAACTCTCATCTTGATCCTTGGTATTTAAGGATCAGCCACAAAAGGACCAGCCTCCATGTGTCATCTAAGTTCTTGGGGCAGGCAGTTGAGGACAGCCAGGGAGGATTTGGAAAGGAAAAACAGTGGCTTGTTTGCCGAAGCGTTTTATATCTGAGTCCTGGGTCCAGGAGCTACTGTGGCATCGTGGTCCTGCTTTGAAGGGGACGTGTGATGGGGAATAATGCTTGTCTGCATCCTGATTTTGGCTTCTCAAGCTTGAGATGGTAGAGAATGTGTCTCATTTATTCATAGAGTCTTTCAACTAATATTTATTGAGCACCTACTATGTGCCAGGTAGAACTCAGGGACCTGAGGGGATGGTAGGGCACACAAAAAAAATCCTCATCCCTGTGATACTGACACTTGAGTAAGGAGATGAACTAGAAGCCAATTAAGTATGGGTTGGCTGGTTAGCTCGGTTGTTTAGGGCATGGTGCCCATAACACCAAGGTCAAGGGTTCAGATCCCCATACCGGCCAGCTGCCAGAAAAAAATAAAATAAAATAAACCTTGGTACCAAGGGTGAAGAGTACTATGAAGAAAAACAAGCAAGGAAAAGACATAGAGACTGAGGGTTTTATTTGCTCTTACATGCTGTTTGTCACCCATTTTCAGCATACACTAGGATGGCCTTTCCTGCTCCCTTGTAGTTAGTCAAGGGTCATGTGATGAATTTTGGCCAGTGAATTGATGTGTGTCACTTCCGGGCTGGATCATTTAATTGGCCAGTGCAGGGCCCTCCAGAGCTCTCAACACAACAATGGAACATTCTAGATGGCAGCTGCTTCATCAGCCTGGGTCTCTCTCTGCGTGACTTTGAGAAGCAGAGTTTCCTGCCAAGTTGTGATGGGCAGGTAGTGCGAGTGAGAAATGAACTACTGAGATCGAGGGGCTCTTTGTCACTGCTGCATAACTCAGCCCAGCCTGGCTGATCCAGTGGTTGTGGATAATTTAGAAAGAGTTGTCAGGGCAGGCCTTTCTGAGGATGGACGATTTGAATAGAGACCTGAATGAAGTCAGGGAGGGAACCATATAGATATTTGGAGGAAGAGCATTCCAGAAAGAGGAAGCAGCCTGTACAAAGGCCCTGAGGCTGGAGCTTGCTGTGTGTTTGAGGAACAGCAAAGAAACCAGCGTGAAGAAAGGGGAGAGCTGCAGGGAGGGGAGGGCAGGGAGGTGACGGAGGCAGGTTGTGCAGGGCCTTGTGGGTTACGGTGAGGAATTCAGCTTTTACCTTGAGGATGAGGGGAGTCATGGAAGGTTCTGAGACACCATGGGATGGTGTAAGGAGACGTTTAGCACAGAACCTGGAATATTGTGACTGCTCTAGATGGTAGCCATGGTGACCATGATTTCTATTATTATTATCTCTTTTTCTTTTTTCTTTTTGGCAGCTGGGCACTATGGGAATCTGAACCATTGACCTTGGTGTTATCAGCACCACGCTCTAACCAACTGAGCTAACCGGCCAGCCCAATTTCTATTATTTTTTATTATTTTATTATTTGAAAGGGAGTCTTCAAGTGTTTCTTCTCCTCTCTGCAGCTCAAGTGCTGTGGGGTGAATAACTACACAGATTTTTCTGGCTCTTCCTTTGAAATGACAACCGGCCACTCCTACCCCAGGAGCTGCTGTAAATCCATTGGAACCGCAGCCTGTGATGGGCGCAACGTGTCCGCCCACGTCATCTACCAAGAGGTAACCTGAGATTTTGTTGTGTGTCGCCTCAACAGACCCCAAGGACTGGTGACTTTTGTAAAAATTGCTTATTTGTGGGAAGTCCGGCAAAGGTGGCTGGGGAAGAAAGCAATCAACTCTGAAAAAGTGTTCAGCTCATTTTGACAACACAGTCTTGGGGAGTTAGGACTACCCTTCCCATTTCAAAGATGGGGAAACTGAGGCTCAGGGATGAGATGAGACTGGTTCAAGGTCCCTTGGATTTGGCAGAGTTGGGATTTGAATCCACATTGGCCTGAGTCCTTTACCTGGGCCACGCTGCTTGCTCTCAGGCACCTTAAACTGCAGCAATAATGATTAAAAGGGATAATCCTAATAAGACTGCCAGCCAGGTGACCAAGCTTTCACATTGTGAGTTTCATCACATCACACCCCTTGAGGTGGGGATGACTCTTCTCTTGTTTTGCAGATGAGGAAACTGAGGCACAGAGAGGTTTCCCATGGCCAGGGAGTGGTGGAGATGGGTTTCAAGCCCCACCTCCAGCTTCCTCTTAACTGATCTCTGAGGAAATAATATGAATCATTCATTTATTCATTCATTTATTGGCACTGAGTGGCTTCTGCTGGGAGCCAGTCCCTGTGGAGAAACAGCCAGGCCAAGTCCCAAGCCGGGGCCTCAGAGACAGACATGGGCCACACACTGGCCCACTGGACCCTGCACAACCTGCCTGTCACCTCCTGACATCCTGTCCCTCTTGCTCACTCCGCTCTAGCCACACTGGCCTCCTTACTACTGCTCAAAAAAACCAACCCCGTGCCAGCCTCAGGGCCATTGCACAGGCTGTTTCCTCTGCTTGGAACACTCTTCCCCCAAATGTCTTCCTAACTCACTCTTTCAAGTCTTTGCTCAAATGTCACTTCCTTGGTGAGTCTGTTCCTGACTCCTGTCTGTAAAAGAATCCCCCATCCTGACTGTCACACTCCATCTTTGTACCCTGCAGTGGCTTTGCAGCATCTATCGGCACCGGACAGTGTTATCTCTCAGCTTGTTATCAACTGTCTTCCCCACTCAAATAGCACGAGGGCGTGAATTTATGTGTTTTATACTGCCTGGCACACAATAAGCACTTAATAAATACCTGTTATGTGAAGGGGGCACTGAACGGTGACAACAGCAAGCTCATGGCAGCCCAAACTTCCAGAATCAAGACATGCTGGGGACCTAGAAAGAGAGGCAGCCCAGTGACCACAGGAAGAAGGGTGACGGACCCACCGCCTGCAGGTGGCTGCCCTGCCCACCCACTTCATCTGGTCTCCTGATCTCTCTGAGCCTCGGTTCTTTCCCCTATCAAATGAAGAAAAGAATAGAGTCCACCTTATGGGGTTGTAGTGAGAAATGAGTGAGCAAATACATGTAAAGGGCTGAGAAGCTGCTGAACACATGTCGGCCCTTCTGTTCATATGTAAAGAGCACTCGGAAATAACTAGCACTTACTGAATGCTGGCTATGGGTCAGGCCACTGCCATGTACTTCGTGTAGATTCTTTTAATTTTCACAGAAATCTTATGAGGCAGATCCAGTGGGTCCCCTTTCTAGATGAGCAAACCGAGGCACAGAGTGGTATAGTGACTTCTCCAAGGCCACACAACTAGTAGTAACCCAGGATGTCTGGCCACACTTGAATGTCAGCACAGCTGGGTAGAGAGGAGTGAGTGGTACAGTATGGTGGGGGGTTGGGGTGGGATGGGGGGCCAGAAAAGATGCTGGCGTGGGAGCCACACCCTTGTGGCTTTGTTCCCTTCTCCTCTCTGAATCAGAATGGAGTCTGGGTGGCCCGAAGGGTGGGGGTTGATTGGGACTAGGATTCTATGAGCCCCTAACCAGCTTCTGCTTGCTTTGATATTTGTGTTCTCAGGGCTGTTTCCCCAAGCTCCTGAAAATAACCAAGACTCAGAGCTTCACCCTGATTGGGGGCTCGCTGGGGGCAGCAATAATGCAGGTAAGACCCAGCCTCTCTGGGACACATCAAGCTTATTTATTAAGCAACTACTGTGTGCCTAATATTATTCTGGGCACCAGGGATACAGAAGTGAACCAAAGACAAAAATCCCTGCCATGGTGAAGCTGACGTTCTAGTGGGGGAGACAGATGATAATTTCAGGTACAGATACTTGCTGGGAAGGAAGTAAAACAGGGTTAGAGGAGAGGAAAGGGAATTGGGAAGGACCTCGCTAAGTAGGTGACGTTTGACCAGCCACCTGAGGAGGTGAGAGAAAGCCTTGTGAGTATGGGGAAGGCATAGGGAACGGCTGGTGCAAAGGTCCTGAGGCAAGGATAAGCTTGACTTATTCAAGGACCAGCAGGGAGGCCCCTGTGGCTGGAGCAAAGTGAGCAAGAAGGCAGGTGACAGTGGGGCGTTGATGGGGACAGACTGTTCAGGGCCTTGTGGACCACAGGGAAGGGTCGGGCTTTATTCTGAGTATGATGGAGGGATAAGCTTGACTTATTCAAGGACCAGCAGGGAGGCCCCTGTGGCTGGAGCAGAGTGAGCAAGAAGGCAGGTGACAGTGGGGCGTTGATGGGGGCAGACTGTTCAGGGCCTTGTGGACCACAGGGAAGGGTCGGGCTTTATTCTGAGTATGATGGAAAGCCTTTAGAAGCATTTTAACGTTCTTTTTTTTTTTTACCCCACAAACTTTATTGAGGACCTACAGTGTGTCAATCACTTTTTTTTAGGCATTGGGGATACAGCCATGAACTAAACAGACACAAATCCCTGCCCTGATGGAGCCGACGTTCTAATCAGCAGGACACACAAAAAACATGATTTTGTTAAATTGGGAAATATGCGATAGTGTTAAAACATCCTGGGAAGAGGACAGGGAGGTCAGTTTTAGGAGGGAGGTCTCTTCAACAGTTCACTTAGAAAGGGGGGAAGGCATGAGGGTATTGGGGGTCTCTGCCCTGATTCAAGAGAGGAACAGAACTGCCGCACTCCAGGGATATGCCCTCTCCACTCACCTAATGAACCTGACCTTCACTTACCTGGTAGAGAGCCTGAGTGGGCAAGAGCTGGGGATCTGTACTCCAGTCCCGGTTATGTCATTCATCAGATCTCTGAGGATGGCTCAGGAGCTCTGCCTTCCTGATTTGGAAAATGAGCTTCCCAGTGGTTTCTTGTGAGGCATAGAGGAGGTGAAGTATGTCAGAGGCTTTGCACCGTGTCCTGCCCACAGCAAGTGTGAACTGATTCTGCGAAGCTATTTCATCAGCTTTAGAGACGGAGACACAAGGAGGCAGTGGCTGAAAAGTGATGAGTCACCATTCATCACTAGAGATGCTTGAAGACTATTATGGGAATGCTATGTACAAAAGCTATCTTATTTTCAAACACTGCCCAAAGAAAAGATTGTTGTCAAGGAGAGTCCAGCCCAGGCAGGACCCAGGGAGAAGGAACTAACCCAAAAAACAGTGCAGTAAATGAAAGCTCTTTTCAATTAAACTAGCCCTGATTTTTACAGCATCGAGACTTGTAAAAATAGAATAAACTGTGGAATATTCTTAAAGCAAATGTACTTCACAGGGCCTGGTTTTCAGAAGCCTTGCCGTTTCAAATATTGACCTTGCGGAGGACTGGAAATTTTCCTCAGGCTATAAAGTCTCTGGTGTAAGATAAAGAATTGTAACACAGCAAGGTTGCTGGCTCAAAGACAGACAGGCCACTGATTGATATATAAAGATACTGGAAAATTTCTGGAGGGGGAAGGAATGTTTGCTAAGATCAAGCTTTTGTTGGTGGATCACTTAATTGTCTACTGGAATGTCATCTGACTTGTTTCACTGAAAGTTACCAGTCTATATTGTTAAACTATAACCCCACCTATGTTCTCTTCCTGTAACTTCCTGGTCTGGAAAATAAATGCAGGAAGAGAACCCCAATTCAGGGTTAATTTCCCAAGGAAGGGATGCCTCTCACTTGAGGGTTCTGGGAGATTAACCACTTCGGGGTCTCTCACTGCTCAGAAGAGATGGGCTTTGAGTAACCCTTTGCATCTCCGTCACCCAGGGGAAGAGGGGTGACAAATCCATGGGGGGCAAAGCAACAATAAATTATGGGTGTCATGTGCAGAATGGATGAAGCAATAAGTATTGGTAATTGGTTATTGCCCAACATTAAAAAAAAAAAAAAAAAGGCTTTCCTTTTGAAAAAGAAAAACCCTCATGTCAACCACTAAGCTAACCAAACAGGGAATTCAGTGGCCACATACAATGAAGAATACAGACTTTACAGATTTGGTCCCAAAAAGTCACTAAACAAACAGTAGCTACAATAGCAACACCACCACCAAACAGCAACAGAGAAAACCTTCAGGGAAGGGGAAACCTGATTTCCAGATTTGCCACATTATAGTATTTTTAAAATTTTTATTTATTATTTTTATTTTACATTCTAAGATGTTGTAGAGCAGTGGGAGGGGGAGGAGGACAGGCGCAGAAGAATGGAGGTAGGAATGGGGGGTGGGGCTGGCCTGGTCGCAGATGGGGGGGGCGTGGGTGAGGCCATCACCCCTTACCCTCAGCTTGGGAGCCCAGGAGGCTTCCAGCAGTGGTGCAGTTCTCGCCAGGCAGGACACATAGTATTTAAATGTCTACTTTTCAACAAAAAATTTCAAGACATACAAAGAAATAGGAAATGTGACCTATACACAGAAGAAAAGCAAACCACAGAAACTGTCCCTGAGGAAGCCCAGATGTTAGATTTAGTAGACAAATACTTTAAATCAGCTATTATAAATATGTACAAAAGGGCCGGCCCGTGGCTCACTCAGGAGAGTGTGGTGCTGATAACACCAAGGCTACGGGTTCGGATCCCATATAGGGATGGCCGGTTGTTCACTTCAGAGAGTGTGGTGCTGACAACACCAAGTCAAGGGTTGAGATCCCCTTACTGGTCATCTTTAAAAAAACCAGCAGTGGTGCAGTTCTCGCCAGGCAGGACACATAGTATTTAAATGTCTACTTTTCAACAAAAAATTTTAAGACATACAAAGAAATAGGAAATGTGACCTATACACAGAAGAAAAGCAAACCACAGAAACTGTCCCTGAGGAAGCCCAGATGTTAGATTTAGTAGACAAATACTTTAAATCAGCTATTATAAATATGTACAAAAGGGCCGGCCCGTGGCTCACTCAGGAGAGTGTGGTGCTGATAACACCAAGGCTACGGGTTCGGATCCCATATAGGGATGGCCGGTTGTTCACTTCAGAGAGTGTGGTGCTGACAACACCAAGTCAAGGGTTGAGATCCCCTTACTGGTCATCTTTAAAAAAATAAAAATAAAAAAATAAAATAAAACAAATAAATAAATAAGTATGTACAAAGACCAAAAGGAAACTGTGTCTGAAGGACTTGGGAGAGTGTGGTGCTGGTAATGCCAAGGTCATGAGTTCGGATCCCTGTACTGGCCAGCCCTCCCTGCGCCCCCCCTGAGAAAAAACTAAAGGAAAGTATGAGAATGATATCTCATGCAGTAAAGAAGATGAGGATAAAGAGGATTAAAAAATAATCAAACATAAATTCTGGCATTAAAATGTACAATAATTGAAATGAAAATTTCACTAGAGGGCCGGCCCGGTGGCACACTGCTACAGTGCGCCGCTTGGGAGCGCGGGGGCGCTCCCGCCGAGGGTTTGGATCCCACATACAGACCGGTTCCCGCTCGCTGGCTGGGCGAGGGGCAGGCGCAACACTGAGGGTTGCGATCCGTTGCCGGACATGAAAAAAAAAGACAAAAAAAAAAAAAAAGAAAATTTCACTAGAAGGGTTCAGCAACAAACTTAAGCTGGCAGAAGAAAGAATCAGTGAAACTGAAGATGGGTCAATGGAGATTATCCAGTCTGAGGAACAAAAAGAAAAAGAGTTAAGAAAACCGTACAGAGCCTCAGAGACCTATGGGGCACCATCAAGCATACCAGCATATGTATAGTAGGGATTCCAGAAGGGGAAGAGAAAAAGAAAAAGGCAGAAAGAACATTTGAAGGAATAATGGTCCCAAACTCCTCAAATTTGGTGAAAAAATGTGAATCTACACATCCAGGAAGCTGAATAAATTCCAAGTAGAATAAATGTAAAAGGATCCACACCTAGACATAGCATAATCAAACTATCAAAAGAAAACCGCAGAGACTTTTTTTGTATGTTTTTGTTTTTCTGGCAGCTGGCCGGTATGAGGATCTGAACCCTTGACCTTGGTGTCACAAGTCTGTGCTGTAACCAACCAAGCTGACTGGCCAGCCACAAGGCAGGGACTCTTGAAAGCATCAAGACAGAAGCAACGCATCATCTACAAGTTATCCTCAATAAGATAAACAAATTTCTCATCAGAAACCAAGGAGGCTGAAAGCAGTGGGATGACGTATTCAAATGCTGAAAGAAAGACATCTGTCAACTGAGAATTCTATATCCAGCAAAACTACCCTTCACAAGTGAAGGAGAAATTAAGACATTTCCAGATTAAAAAAAAAAAAAAAACAAGAGAAGTAATTACTAGCTAGCAGATCTGCCCCCACTGAAAATGCTAAAGGGTATCCTTCAGGCTGAAATGAAGGACAGAAGACATTAACTTTTATTTATTTATCTATTTTACCATCACCTTATAGATAAGGAAGGAGATTAAATGCTCTTATCAAATGATAGAGCTTGGAAGTTTGGATTAAAAAAACATGGTGATGGGCCGGCCCGTGGCTCACTCGGGAGAGTGCGGTGCTGATAACACCAAGACCATGGGTTCGGATCCCATATAGGGATGGCCGGTTCGCTCACTGGGTGAGCGTGGTGCTGACAACACCAAGTCAAGGGTTAAGATCCCCTTACCGGCCATCTTTTAAAAAAAATAATATTAAAAAATATATAAAAAAACATGGTGATGGGCCGGCCCGTGGCTCACTCGGGAGAGTGCGGTGCTGATAACACCAAGACCATGGGTTCGTATAGAGA